ATCCCACACATTTTGGTGATGAGAGGTCAAGTGTTCAGTGCTATGTGTTGTAAGTAGGAACTGGGGATTTTTGCATTTCTTAGAGAATCACCATAGGACTGAGCTCGCCCCCCGCCCCCCGGCCCCCTGCCCGCCAACAAGATGTATTGTTCTTCCTTCTCTGCTGACCTGTATAGATTACGCCAAGAATTCCTAACCCTATGGCCTTAGGCTGCTTCAGCCAATGAGAGCCCAGCAGAGATTAGAAGGAAGGAGGAGGGTGGGGTTTGGTACTTATTTATTGCCTGGCTGCCTCACTGCAAGGTTGGCTCAGGCTGGCTTTGTCCCTGGACACAGTCCCGCCCTGCCCTTCCAAAATGGCCAACTCTGTGTGCGTCTCTCTTCTCATCTGAACTATTTCCTCCTTTGTTGTTATGGGCCAGGTGGGTAAAGGCTGGGGTGCTACTAAGCCCTGGGTCACTAGGTTTCCCACTGTGACTCTCCTGTACCCCAACTTTCTAAATGAACCCTCCTTAAGCGACCCTTTTTTAGGCTCCCCCCTCTTTCCTATAAGGGCTGTAACTAGTACGGACACCAGCAGCTCTGGATCTTCTCTTCCCAGCCATCCTCTGGGGTCTGTGGAAAAAGACAAATTACTATTCAGTGGAACCAAAGAATGATTCCACCCAAAGAAAAGAAACAGTGACAAGAGAAGAAGCTTGCAAAGGTCTATGAAATGTGTCTCTAACTTCTCCTCTTTGAGTCACCATCATACTTTTGAGTACAATTAGTTAAAAATTAATGTTCACAGGCTTTTTAAATTGTTTGGAGTAATGGTATCTCCCTTAGACCAATAATTGAATTGCTTAATTGGGAACATAAATCTCCATTGTGAATACTGACATTTTCTCTTTAACAGCTATGTGCGTTCTATCCACTAGCCTGGGCCTCATTGTTTCTATATATGTATCAGGTAAATGCTTTTAACACACAGCATTCCTCCCTTGGTAGGTACTAAGTAATAAAGGTTAAGTTGTTCTGAAAATGATTTTACATTTCTGTTTCAGCTATGACTTGGATCTGCTTCTAAAATTAAGAATGATTCTAACGCAGAACATCATTAATTACTTTTCCAATGGCCCATTTGCTCAGGGATTCCATGCCTCTTGAACAAATTGCTCAGTTGTTCACAGAAAATTATATTTTGTTAGGTAGACTCAGGGAGGTGTCTGATTAATTCCTAAAATAGTGTGCTAGAGGAAGACTCTGGGCTATTAGCTCACAGATTTTTTTTAAATGAATTTAGTTATATATTAGAATACTAATTTTTTTAATTGTGGTATAATATTTTGGTTGTTCTGTTTATTTTCTTTGCCATAAGTTTTTCCAACTTTCCATAAATTAGAAACTAGAAATAAGGGAAGAGGCATAATCATCCCAAATAACTTTCTGTGGTTCTATTCAACAACCAGCTACCAGTTGAAATATGAAGCTGGGTCGGGCACAGTGGCTCACGCCTGTAATCCCAGCACTTTGGGAGACCGAGGCAAGCAGATTGCTTGTGCTCACTCAGGAGTTCGACCCCAGCCTGGCAAACATGGTGAAACCCGTCTCTACAAAAAATACAAAAATTAGGGGTCGTGGCGGTGCACACCTATAGTCTAAACTACTCAGGAGGCTGAGGTGGATCACTTAAGCCCAGGAGGTCAAGGCTGCAATGAGCTGAGATCACACCAGTGCACTCAGCATGGGTGAGAGAGCTAGACCCTGTCTCAAAAAAAAATAAAAATGCTTATGTTTTTAAAATATATTTAAAAATTTTAAAAAGAAAAAAAGAAATATGAGGCTGAAAAGCACACATGTGCCCAACATAAGGGGTTGGGTTCCCCCGCCTTATCAAATTGCCCAGCAGCTGCCCAAGAAAAAAAGAATTGTTAATGACAGTATGAAAAGCAATAATTGCAGCCAATCTGAATAAGCCAAATATAAAAACCATGAAGATGTAAGAATAAGTGGGAAATTAACCAGAGGCTTGTGAGCACAAGGACATAAAAGGTAGTTAACAACATACAATATTGATTAGACAAGTCAGGGAAAGGCAGATGAGGAAGAAATCAAGTTACGGAAGGTCTAGGCTAAATTTTTGGCCAATAACCAAGTTATTAGTACAAACTGCTGTTGCCCCATAGGTTGCAGAAGTGTCCAAAACCCTTGGCTTCTGGCTGAGAATCTGGACAGAATGTCTCCCTTATGAAGAATTTGGTTGTGCAAATGTTTAGTTTCTGCAATCAGGATGGGTAGAGTATAGTGTATAAAAAGCCCATTTCAGGCCGGGCACAGTGGCTCACACCTGTAATCCCAGAACTTTGGGAGGCCAAGGCAGTTGGACTACTTCAGGTCAGGAGTTCAAGACCAGCCTGTCTACCATGGTGAAACCCCATCTCTACTAAAAAACGCAAAAAGTTAACCAGGTGTGGTGGCAGGCGCCTGTAATCCCAGCTACTCAGGGGGCTGAGGCAGGAGAATCGCTTGAACCTAGGAGGCAGAGGTTGTAGTGACCCAAGGTTGCAACCACTGTATCCAGCCTGGGCAACAGAGCGACACTCCGTCTCAAAAAAAAAAAAAAAAAAAAAAGCCCATTTCAGGCCTACATTCATACACACACACAGACACAGTTTCATGACTCCAGATCTTTGCTAATGCCAATTGTTTCTTCTTCCTGGAAGCGTCTTCCCTTCTTCCTCTGCCATTTCAATTCAGATTTATATTGACAACCCCCAAGAATTACTCTTCCTTCTATACGCTGTTGTCTGCTCCTAACTGGGGGTGAGGAAGCAGCAGGAGATGTCCACAAATAGCAGAGGCCTCTTGGCGAAGAGGTCATGGGTGCGCTATGGACAAGCTCTGCTAGCCTCCACATTCTACAGGGGATGAGTTCTCCCCCAGCCTCCTCCTCCTCAGCTTCTCTCCAGGGGGTACCTATGACTGAGTGACCTCTGACACTCGGTGCCTCCAGGGTAAGAAAGTTCCCTTCAGAAGAGCAGCTGGCACAGTCATTATTGAGTCTGTCTCTGCCTCTACCGCCTCACGCCACTTCGGTCTCCTGAGATGAGCTCATAAGCCGAGCAAGACCATGAGCTCATCTTGAGATGAGGATAAAAATGGACAGAGGACTCCACTCACAGAAGGGCTTTCACAGCTGCTATCCAGCATGGTCAGCCAAGAGAAGGCACGGAGTCTTACTGAGTGTCTCTTACGGACAGCATGCTTCACAGATAATGTCTGTCTTCTTAAAGCCTATCAGCTAATGCCTACTAGCAATACACACACAGCCAAATTTAGGGTTATTAACTTGTTGCAGCAAGAGAGCACATATGCAAGAGGAATCATGGAACATGAAAAGGTGAAAGTTAGGAAAGCGAACTTACTAAGACTGGGGAGCTGGAGTTAAAGGTTCTTGGCAGGGATTGGTCAGAATCTGGAAACTAGGAAGTTGCTGGAACCGTCAGTAATTTTATCTATAGAACGCCAAAGTCATGAGATGTACACCCATGTTCATAGTCACACTATTCCTAATAGCCAAAAGGCAGAACCAATCCAAGTGTTCATTGACAGATGAATGGATAAGTAACATGTGATGTATACATACCATGGAATATTATTCAGCCTTAAAAAGGCATGCATGCTACACGTGGATGAATCTTGCAGACATTATGCTAAGCGAAATAAACCAGACACAAAAAAGACGAATTCTGTATTATTCCACTTACGTGAGGTACCTAGAGTAGTCAAACTCATAGAGACAGAAAGTAGAATGGTGATTGCCAGGGGCTTGGAGGAGGGGAGAATGGGGAGTTATGTTTAATGGGTACAGAGTTTTGCTTTGGTAAGATGAAAAGTTTTCTGTGGATGGATAGCGGTGGCAGTTGAGTAACAATGTGAATGGACTCAGTGCCACTGAACCGTATACTTAAAAATGGTTACAATGGTAAATTTCATGTTATGTATATTTTACTACAATTTTTTTTAAAAAGTCACGTGGAATGACTGTTAGATCAGTTTGTCTGATGTCCTCCAAAAAACACGGGTCTGCATGTGCTAGTTAGTGTTTGAGTTTAGATACTTTCTCCTGTATGCTGTGGCTTGGCTTGGTTTAACTGTTTTGCAAGTCACAGAGCAGATTTGCAATATGTGATTTGTGTTTTAATTCTCAGTTCCCCCATCTCAGACTAGCTGTCAGCAGAGCTGTTTTTCATTTTCTCAATCTCATTTAGTTGTTTGCTTGTTTGTTTATTCGTCTCAACAACTGAAAACAGTACTAGATTCGAGATTCCAACCCAAAGCTGCCAGAATTCTCACCGTGGACTTTTCTATCACACGGGTCCTCTAAAGGTTAAAACGGCTCATTGAAATACGCATAATCTGTCTGTTCCTAACACATAACAGATTTAAATCCGCATCAACTATTCCAGGAACCCTAAAATACTCAGATAAATATGGCATTGCCTGATTTCCAGTACCTCACAGACTGAAGGGCAAAACATAAATACATAGTTATGTGTAAGAAATATAATAAATCTAGAAGGTAAATGATCATATGCCCATGTTAAATATCTACATAATTGTGATACTACTCACTTACATTTGGTTAGAATCCTTTCACAAGGAAGAGAATCTCCTTTTTCTAGAGATGAGATTCAAAATTAAAATGGAACACTACTAGAAAATTTAATACATTCACTTAGATTTCTCTGAAGCATAAACGATGGTGTTAAAAATAAACGATGGTGTTAAAAGAGTAGATTTAGATAAAGCGGAGAAAGAAAGCAAAGTAATTCCTAACAGATGCATCATAATTTAAAGCAGGAATCGGCACATTTTTTCTGTAAAGGGCCAGAAAGTAAATATTTAAGGCCTTACAGGCCACATGCGGCCAAAGACAATATGTAAACAAATGAGTATGGCTGAATTCCAATAAAACTTTATTTATGAAGCTGAAATTTGAATTTAATGTAATTTTCACAGGTCATAAAATATTCTTTTTTCCAAACATTTAAAAATGTAAAAGCCATTTTTATCTCTCAGGCTGTAGAAACACGAGCAGCAGGCTGAATTTGGCCTGCAGCTATAATCTGCCAACTCCCGCTTTCAAGCCTGACTTCTCCAAGTGTAACCCATAGTCTGGCAGCATCGGCAACACCCAGGAGCTTGTCAGAAATACAGAACCTCATGCCCAATCCCAGATCCGCTGAAGGAGAACCTACATTTTCAACAACCATCATGTGTGTGTTTATGCAGTTTAAGGTCCACTCAGGTTGATACATGACTGTGGTCAACCCCTGTGCTTCCCAAGGAAGTGACCTTACCTTGGGAATGTTCTGAACCTCTCTGTGCCTCAGTTTCCCCCTGTAGAAGATAAAGATGACAGCATTTCCTCCCTTAAGCATGGCTGTGAGAATTCGCACGTGCGCGCACACACACGCACACACATGGCTTAAAACAATGTTTGTCATTACCATAACAAAATCTTCTGTTATTTTCACAGCCACCCTCTGAAACAGGCAATGTTGACCTAATTTGACAGAAGAAACTGTAGTCCAAAAAATACAGAAATTCACCTAGGATCACAATTTAGTCCTGAGAATAATGAACAAAGGGACAAAAGGGGGACAAATGCCCTAGGCTCCCAGGTCTTCAAGCCCATGTCCCCCTCTCGGGGAACACTCTCCATAACCTCTCAGCTCATGCCCCTTAGATGGTCCCTAAAAATACTTCTGCCATGCAAGGATCTCCCCAAATCTGTACCCCAAGTTACCCTTTCATTCCTTGAAATTTATTTTCCATTAAGTCGCACAGTGTTTTTTTTACAACTTCTCTTTCTAGTTATAGATTGTAAATTTTTCCTTTGCTGAGTCTTGGAGCTGACCAACTGTTTTTTATTATATTTGTAGGGCTCAGGGGAAAAAAAAAAGGCAATTCCTTTATTTGAGAATCCTGACATTTATTAGCATAATAAAACTCTCAAGATGAAATTGCAGTTTTCCAGACAGTAATTTCATTTGCAGGACAACTTACAAGGGATTTATTTTAAAGCCAGGTAAAAAGGTAAAACCTAAAATATATGAGACATGCAGAAATTGCAGGCCCCAAATAAAATGAAATAAATGTGTTAGGGATGGAAAACCCAGCTGTTGTCTCTCACATATTAATTAGGGGTGACAGGAACAACAGCCCAGGGATTCAGGGCCTCAACCCATCTTGGTCTGCTTTCAAAGCTGCTGTTAATTCTTGGAACAAAAGTTTCTTCCAACACCTTGAAAATCATCACATCATATCCCCCGACACATCATGGCTAAGGACTAAATTGTTGTTGTTATTGTGATTGTTGTTAGAAATACCTTTTTCATTTGGACATAGCTTTCATGTTTATCATTTAACTGACCTGCAAAAAAACCTAGTGACGGCCATACAGAAAATTCCCTTTTCAGTCATACTGAGGTTTACTGAAGTTAAATGACTTGGACAAAGTCACATAGTTGGTAAATCAGAGAGCCAAAACTAAAACATCATTCCTCTGAGTCCATAGAAATAAGGCAATTTTAATGATAATCAATTAAGGCATGTTAGAGTTCAGAAAGGAGGTTCTTTCCATCATTTCGCTGTATGCATGTAGTGAGACAGGCAGACCTGGGAAAGCCACGGAGCTGAGTTGCAAAATTGATATTATTGAACACTTCTCTATGATGGGTTCTTATCCTGGATTCCCCAAAAGGTAGAGCCCGTGGCAAAAGCTTACAAGCTGCTACTTCATTCAGAAGTGCAATCCCAGAGCAACAGGAGAGAGCAGGGCAAGGCAGAGAAGAAGGAACAAACAGGAGCAGGGGGGTGTCATACTGATCCAGCCACCACTTGGTTTCATCGTGACTGGTTGCCCGATCTTGCAGGACCATCTTCTAAAAGACCATTCAAACAGATGCCTCTCAGAATAGTTCCTCCAGGAGGAAGAACGGGGAAAAAGCGATCTACCAGCCTGTGACTTCCATTCATCCCAGATTCACCACATGGGGCATTCACTTCCCATCTCTTCTGTATTATGCCTCTGCAGCAACGGGAGACGGGACATGTGGCAAGCTACCACTGGTTTATGCTCACATGACACTGATCAACATAGGGAGGAAGAGCAGAACCTATGCAAAACTGGTTACAGTGCTGGTGGCTTGTGGTAGAGAAGTGACCAAGAATCTAAGGAACAGGTGAGGCAAGAGAAGAAGAGGGGCATAGGAGATGTTTGATACAGCCATCAAGTAGAATAAATTGTTCCCTAACATCCCTAGGGTCCCTTCATTCTTTCCCTCTCACCAAACACAATGCTGCAAGCATTATAATGCTAATAAGTTCCAGGGTGAGGATCTGAACCCAAGTTTTCTTGACTGTAAAGACTGTAATATTCTCTTCATCATATACTACCTCTGTGTATATGGCCATAACTGTGGAACACAAGTATGCACCAATAGACACCATCACTGAGAGTTATTGAGGAGTTATTGGGTGAGTCTTCTTGTTAATATAAGGAATATACTAAGATTAAGTTGACAAGGGAATTAAAAGGACAATGAGGACAGAGCTAATCATTGGAGTAACCTGCATAAAGAAGGCCACATCCCACAGAGCAGAGCCACATCAGATTTCTCAAAACCATTCTTGCATTTATAACTCACCCCAGGTCTTGAAGACATCTGTAGGACTACATAAAACCATTGCAAAACCAGGGCCAAGATATGATTCAAAGATAGAGGAGAGTGACAAAAGAAGAGGTTAAATAAGGAAGGCAGGACAGTGTCAATCAGCTGCCCTGGAAACTGGGGCTCGCCTTAGATAATTCCAATGATAACATCAATAAGGGTAATAATGGAGATTATGAAAGATGTAGCATTTATGTCCTCCATAGAAATCCTTCATAATCTTCCATTATTGCCATGATTTTATAGAGTGGCAAGTAGGAAACAATTTACGAGAAACCACTGCTAATTTGTGTTGGAAAACTTTTAGAAGATGTGCATTCATTAACAAATATTTACTGAATGTCTACCATATGTTAAATTTAGGGTTCGGCACTGGAATTATTTTGGATTATTAAAACATGGTCCACACACTGTAAAAGCTCAGTTTATGGAAGCCATAACAAACAGGCTTTGTCTTCTAAGGTCATATAGCTAAGCTCTTCATGAAAGAGTTGCATGAGCCATTAGCAATTTCTGTCCTGATCACTGGGATGAGACCAGTAGCCCTATGCCATAGATGTCATATCCCTTGAGACATATTAATCTACTTTTTCCTCTGGATAGTGGTGGATCTTCCAGAAGGCCATAGAATTTGAGTTGAGAAGTTCTTAAGCTCAGTTCAAAAACAGGATGCCCAAAGGAATCCAACTAATAAGGAAAAAAATATTATTCAAACAATGGATGGTAGTCTGGTGGGCTGTCCCTCTGTCCGCAGGGTTCCTGAAGTAACTCTCCTCCTGAAACAGTGATAATTTCCTCCTAAAAGAGAAAAAAAGGAAAATCCATTTATCATCAAGACAGAGAAATACACATCTATGAGAGAGAGTGAGAGGTTCAAGACAGAGAAACTAAGAATATGCATCTGTCTCCCCTCATTCAGATTGCTAGAAATGACATTTAAAAACTCTGCCTTTAAAAAGAAATGAATTCATAAAAAGTACTGGAAAATAAAAAGGAATGCCATTGACAAAGTGAAACATATTGAAGAATCCTTGAAAAACAAAAGACATGCAGGAGGGGCTTGTCAGAGGAGTCAATGTGGGACACCAGTTACAGCAAGTTGAAGAAGGGTTGAGGGACTCCAGTAGGTGTTTGCCTCAAGCAGGTCGGGGAATGAGGAGATGCACACAGTTCCTTGGAAGCCCCAAGAGACCCAAAAAGTTCAGACGGTCTCATGCCCAAAAGATGAGCCACTCACAGTCAGCTCCAACTCCTACAGCATGAAGACACTGGATTTGGGAAACAAAACTATATTCACTCATGATAGACAGAAAATTCAAAGTTGGAATATTGCTTCAGAGCCTAAAATTTATAGGCATTTAAGCAAAATTATAACCATAAAAGAAAGATGCTGAACTCAACAATAGAAATGATTTCCAGGAAAATATCAAGTCTATAAAGCAAACAGAAGAGGCTTTAAGAGATGTACATTAATCTCTCCTCAGCAGAATAAGAAATAAGTCATCCATGAAACGAGAATGGGCATTATTAAAAAAAAAAAAGAAGAACCAATTAAAGAACCTGGAAACCAAAAGCATGACCATTTAAATTAAAAGGAAAAAATTTCAGAAGAACTGAATAGCAGAATGCTCATAACTAAAGAGCAATTCAGCAGCTGAAAGAAATGTCACATCAAAAAGAAAGAGACATCCTAATAGAAAAATGGACAAAGGATATGAAAGGACGACTCACAGAAGAAATCCAAGTGGCCATGAAACGTGTGAAAAGATCCTCAGCATCAGTGATAATCAGACAAATGCAAACTAAACCACAGTAGATTCAGTGTCTGCCCATCTGATGGAGAAAAATGAAATGATTGATAGGCCCCAGTGTTGGCAGCAGTACAGGGAAACAGCCTCACATAGTTTTGGCAGGAAACTGAACTGGCGCCACATTTTTGGAGGGCAATCTGGCAGATCTTTCCTAATTAAAATGTGCATACTCTTCTCTCCAGCAATTCCAGTTCCAGGACCCATCCCAGAGAAGTACTGCACATGTATCCATAGTGACACACACAGAGAAGTCTCTGCAACACTGTTCAAGATCATGAAAAACTGGAAGCCAGATAAGAGTGGCCATCAAAAGGAGAATGGGTAATTAAACTGTAATATGCATCCATACCATGGAATACCACACAGCATTTACAAGGTTTGGTATACGGATTAACATAGGAAGAGCTCATAGAAATATTTGAATGACAGTCAGCATGTCCTGAAATTACAAGTGTCAGATACATTGTTTTAGCACTTCACACAGTAATGTTTCATTAAAACCTTACAGTGGCCTGAAGAGTTGAGTGCTACTATTAAACTCACTTTACTAAGATGGAAACTAAGGTGCAAAAGCTAAATAGTCGTCCAAAGTCAAACACATAAGTTAGAATTTAAAACTCAGCAGCCTCATTTTAGGGACCATGCTTTTTAAAACTGCATTCAATTATTTAGTAAGCATGTTAAAAAATCAAGTCACTCATTTATATGTAAGGAAATATGCAACTCAGGCTGGTGTGGTGGTGCATGCCTGTAGTCCCAGCTACTAGGGAAGCTGAGTGGGAAGATCACTTGAGCCCAGGATCTTGGGGTTACAGTGAGCTATGATCACACCACTGCACTCCAGCCTAAGCAACAGAGTAAGACCTTGTCTCAAAAAAGGCTACACAACTTATGTGAAAAATAACAAAACTATATATTTCCTTATGTACATAAGTTTTTTATGTTGCTGCTCAGGAGATATTTAGATAAGATACATGGCAAACTGATAAAGTGGAGGACGGAAATAGAGATTTGAAACGAATGAGGCTTTTACTTTGTATTGTGCTTGATTTTTCTTAGAATGTAATCATGAATTAATTGTATAATTAAAATTTTAATTTGTAGACATTGGCCACCAGATCTCCACATTGGCATAAATGATACCTCTCCTTAGTGTTAGAAATGAAATTGTGCGTCTCAAAGGTTTTGATCTGGAAGAGAATAAAGATATTCAGATATCTCTGGTTTAGCCTTTCTCTGGAACCTGAACTGAGTGAGAGGCATTTATCCTTTGCTTGAAACACTTCCAGGGACAAGGAACTCATCATTGCTAAAGCAGCTCCTATTATACAGGAAAAGCACACAATGTGGTTTAGTGTAAAAGTACATTCTTTAGAGGCAAACAGTCTGAGGCTTAACTCTTGGTCCTAACCATGAAAACTTAGCCCTGGTTTCCTAATCTGTGGAATGGGGCTAAGATGCCTCCCTCAGGCATCTGCCACTGCTGAGGCTTGAGTAGGTAAACAAAGCAGATGGGAAAGCTGGAACTGGGCAGAGCCCCCTGCAACTCAGCAAGGCCTGCTGCCTCTGTAGAGTCCACCTCTGCGGGCAGGGCATAGCTGAACAAAAGGCAGCAGAAACTTCTGCAGACTTAAACGTCCCTGTCTGACAGCTCTGAAGAGAGCAGTGGTTCTCCCAGCATGGTGCTTGAGCTCTGAGAATGGACAGACTGCCTCCTCAAGTAGATGCCTGACCCCGTGTAGCCTAACTGGAAGATACCTCCCAGTAGGGGCTGACTGACACCTCATACAGGCAGGTGTGCCTCTGGGACAAAGGTTCCAGAGGAAGAATCATACAGCAATATTTACTGTTCTGCAATATTTGCTGTTCTGCAGCCTCCGCTGGTGATATTCAGGTAAACAGGGTCTGGAGTGGACCTCCAGCAAACTCCAACAGACCTGCAACTGAGGGACCCGACTGTCAGAAGAAAAACTAAGAAACAGAAAGGAATAGCATCAACATCAACAAAAAGGACATCCACACCAAAACCCCATCTGTAGGTCACCAATATCAAAGACCAAAGGTAGATAAAACCACAAAGATGGGGAGAAACCAGAGCAGAAAAGCTGAAAATTCTAAAAACCAGAGCACTTCTTCTCCTCCAAAGGATTGCAGCCCCTTACCAGCAACAGAACAAAGCTGGACAGAGAATGATTTTGACGATCTGACAGAAGTAGGCTTCAGAAGGTCGGTAATAACAAACTTCTCCAAGCTAAAGGAGGATGTTTGAACCCATCGCAAGGAAGCAAAAAACCTTGAAAGAAGATTATAGACGAATGGCTAAGCAGAATAGTGTAGAGAAAACCTTAAATGACCTGATGGAGCTGAAACCCATGGCAGGAGAACTATGTGACACATGCACAAGCTTTCAATAGCCAATTTGATCAAGTGGAAGAAAGCGTATCAGTGATTCAGGATCAAATGAATGAAATGAAGCGAGAAGAGAAATCTAAAGAAAGAAGAAGAAAAAGAAATGAACAAAACCTGCAAGAAGTATGGGATTATGTAAAAGACCAAATCTACGTCTGATTGGGGTGCCTGAAAGTGAGGGGGAAAAATGGAACCAAGTTGGAAAACACTCTTCAGGATATCATCCAGGAGAACTTCCCCAACCTAGCAAGGCAGGCCAACATTCAAATTCAGGAAATACAGAGAATGCCACAAAGACACTCCTCATGAAGAGCAACACCAAGACACATAATAGTCAAATTCACCGAGGCTGAAATGAAGGAAAAAATGTTAAGGGCAGCCAGAGAGAAATGTCGGGTTACCCACAAAGGGAAGCCCATCAGACTAACAGCGGATCTCTCAGCAGAAACTCTACAAGCCAGAAGAGAGTGGGGGCCAATATTCAACATTCTTAAAGAAAAGAATTTTCAACCCAGAATCTCATATCCAGACAAACTAAGCTTCATAAGTGAAGGAGAAATAAACTCCTTTACAGACAAGCAAATGCTGAGAGATTTTGTCACCACCAGGCCTGCCCTACAAGAGCTCCTGAAGGAAGCACTAAACATGGAAAGGAACAACCAGTACCAGTCACTGCAAAACCATGCCAAATTGTAAAGAACATCGATGCTAGGAAGAAACTGCATCAACTAATGAGCAAAATAACCAGCAAACATCATAATGACAGGATCAAATTCAAACATAACAGTATTAATCTTAAATGTAAATGGGCTATGCCCCAATTAAAAGACACAGACTGGCAAATTGGATAAAGAGTCAAGACCCATCCGCGTGCTGTATTCAGGAGACCCATCTCACATGCAGAGACACACATAGGCTCAAAATAAAGGGATGGAGGAAGTTATACCAAGCAAATGGAAAGCAAAAAAAAGCAGGAGTTGCAGTCCTAGTCTCTGATAAAACAGACTTTAAACCAACAAAGATCAAAAGAGACAAAGAAGGCCATTACGTAATAGTAAAGGGATCAATTCCACAAAAAGAGCTAACTATCCTAAATATATATGCACCCAATATGGGAGCATGCAGATTCATAAGGCAAGTCCTTAGAGATCTACAAAGAACTTAGGCTCCCACACAATAATAACGGGAGACTTTAACACCCCACTGTCAACATTAGACAGATCAACGAGACAGAAGGTTAACAAGGATATCCAGGACTTGAACTCAGCTCTGCACCAAGCAGACCTAACAGACATCTACAGAACTCTCCACCCCAAATCAACAGAATATACATTCTTCTCAGCAGCACATTGCACTTATTCCAAAATTGACCACATAGGGAAGTAAAGCACTCATCAGCAAACATAAAAGAACAGAAATCACAACAAACTGTCTCTCAGACCACAGTGCAATCAAATTAGAATCAAGACTAAGAAACTCACTCAAAACTGCACAACTACATGGAAACTGAACAACCTGCTCCTGAATGACTACTGGGTAAATAATGAAATGAAGGAAGAAATAAAGATGTTCTCTGAAACCAATGAGAACAAAGACACAACATACCAGAATCTCTAGGACGCATTTAAAGCAGTGTGTAGAGGGAAATTTATAGCACTAAATGCCCACAAGAGAAAGCAGAAAAGATCTAAAACCAACACCCTAACATCACAACTAAAAGAACTAGAGAAGCAAGAGCAAACAAATTCTAAAGCTGGCAGAAGGCAAGAAATAACTAAGCTCAGAGCAGAACTGAAGGAGATAGAGACACAAAAAACCCTTCAAAAAATCAATGAATCCAGGAGCTGGTTTTTTGAAAAGATGAACAAAATTGATAGACTGCTAGCAGGACTAATAAAGAAGAAAAGAGAGAAGAATCAAATAGATGCAATAAAAAATGATAAAGGGGGTATCACCACCGATCCCACAGAAACACAAACGACCATCAGAGAATACTATAAACACCTCTATGCAAATGAACTAGAACATCTAGAAGAAATGTATAAACTCCTGGACACATACACCCTCCCTAGACTAAACCAGGAAGAGGTTGAATCTCTGAATAGACCAGTAACAGGTTCTGAAGTTGAGGCAATAATTAATAGCCTACCAACCAAAAAAAGTCCAGGACCAGACAGATTAACAGCTGAATTGTACCAGAGGTACAAAGAGGAGGAGCTGGTACCATTCCTTCTGAAACTATTCCAATCAACAAAAAAAGAGGGAATCCTCCCTAACTCATTTTATGAGGCCAACATCATCCTGATACCAAAGCCTGGCACAGACACAACAAAAAAAGAGAATTTTAGACCAATATTCCTGATGAACATCGATGCGAAAATCCTCAATAAAATACTGGCAAACTGAATCCAGCAGTACATCAAAAAGCTTATTCACCACGATCAAGTCAGCTTCATCCCTGGGATGCGAGACTTGTTCAACATATGTAAATCAATAAATGTAATCCATCACATAAACAGAACTGATGACAAAAACCACATGATTATCTCAATTGATGCAGAAAAGGCCTTTGACAAAGTTCAGCAGCCCTTCATGCTGAAAACTCTCAATAAACTAGGTACTGATAGAACATATCTCAAAATAATGAGAGCTATTTATGACAAATCCACAGCCAGTATCATACTGAATGGGCAAAAACTGGAAGCATTCCGTTTGAAAATTGGCACAAGACAGGGATGCCCTCTCTCACCACTCCTATTCAACATAGTGTTGGAAGTTCTGGTCAGGGCAATCAGGCAAGAGAAAGAAATAAAGGGTATTCAATTAGGAAAAGAGGAAGTCAAATTGTCCCTGTTTGCAGATGACATGACTGTATATTTAGAAAAAAAAAAACCCATCGTCTCACCTCAAAAGCTCCTTAAGTTGATTAGCAACTTCAGCAAAGTCTCAGGATACAAAATCAGTGTGCAAAAATCACAAGCATTCCTACACACCAACAACAGACAAAACAGAGAGCCAAATCATGAGTGAACTCTTATTCACAATTGCTTCAAATAGAATAAAATGCCTAGGAATCCAACTTACAAGGGATGTGAAGGACCTCTTCAAGGAGACTACAAACCACTGCTCAACGAAATAAAAGAGGACACAAATGGAAGAACATTCCATGCTTATGGATAGGAAGAATCAATATCATGAAAATGGCCAGACTTCCCAAGGTAATTTATAGATTCAATGCCATCCCCATCAAGCTACCAATGACTTTCTTCACAGAATTGGAAAAAACTACTTTAAAGTTCATATGGAACCAAAAAAGAGCCTGCATTGCCAAGAAAATCCTAAGCAAAAGAACAAAGCTGGAGGCATCACGCTACCTGACTTCAAACTATACTACAAGGCTACAGTAACCAAAACTGCATGGTGCTGGTACCAAAACAGAGATATAGACCAACGGAACAGAACAAAGGCCTCAGAAATAACACAACACATCTACAACCATCTGATCTTTGACAAACCTGACAAAAACAAGAAATGAGGAAAGGATTCCCTGTTCAATAAACGGTGCTGGGAAAACTGGCTAGCCATTATGTAGAAAGCTAAAACTGGATCCCTTCCTTACACCTTACATAAAATTAATTCAAGATGGATTAAAGACTTAAATGTTAGACCTAAAACCATAAAAACCCTAGAAGAAAACCTAGGCAATACCATTCAGGACATAGGCATGGGCAAGGACTTCATGACTAAAACACCAAAAGCAACGGCAACAAAAGCCGAAATAGACAAATGGGATCTAATTAAACGAAAGAGCTTCTGCATAGCAAAAAAAAACTACCATCAGAGTTAACAGACAACCTACAGAATGGGAGAAAAATTTTGCAATCTACCCATCTGACAAATGGCTAATATCCAGAATCCACAAAGAACTTAAACAAATTTACAAGAAAAAAACAACCCCATCAAAAAGTGGGCAAAGGATATGAACAGACACTTCTCAAAAGAAGACATTTATGCAGCCAACAGACACATGAAAAAATGCTCATCATCACTAGTCATCAGAGAAATGCAAATCAAAACCACAATGAGATACCATCTCACACCAGTTAGAATGGTGATCATTAAAAAGTCAGGAAACAACAGATGCTGGAGGGGATATGGAGAAATAGGAACGCTTCTACACTGTTGGTGGTAGCGTAAACTAGTTCAACCATTGTGGAAGACAGTGTGGCAGTTCCTCAGGGATCTAGAACTAGAAATATCATTTGACCCAGCAATCCTATTACTGGGTATATACCCAAAGGACTATAAACCATGCTACTATGAAGACACACGCATATGTATGTTTATTGCAGCACTATTCAACAATAGCAAAGACTTGGAACCAACCCAAATGTCCATCAATGATAGACTATATTAAGAAAATGTGGCACATATACACCATGGAATACTATGCAACCATAAAAAAGGATGAGTTCATTTACTTTGCAGGGATATGGATGAAGCTGGAAACCATCATTCTCAGCAAACTATTGCAAGGACAGAAAACCAAACACCACATGTTCTCATTCATAGGTGGGAATTGAACAATGAGAACACTTGGACACAGGGTGGGGAACATGACACACCAGGGCCTGTTGTGGGGTGGGGGACAGGGGTAGGGATAGCATTAGGAGAAATACCTAATGTAAATGACGAGTTAATGGGTGCAGCAAACCTACATGGCACATGTATACCTATGTAACAAACCTGCATGTTCTGCACATGTATCCTAAAACTTAAAGTATAAGAAATAAAATAAATAAATAAAAAGATGCCTCCCTCACAGATCTATTGGTAAGATTAAATAAGAGCATGGATGTAGAGCAACAGGGTCAGTGCTTGACACAGAGAACGTGCCAATGTCCTCACATCCCCTCCCTTTCTCTTTCCTCTGTTTATTAGAAGGCTCTTCCCAACACATAGAAATCAACCTTGATCCTGGTTAGTCCAGTTCCCAGGCAGTACTCCACACCCAGTGCCCGAGTATCTGTGAACGGGTGATTCTCCATGAGTATTATTCATAAGGTCCAGGGCTGTCCCTGAAGTTCTAGGGACCTCCATGAAGAGACGAAGAGAAAGCAATACAAACCTAAGAGTCCCTATTATAGCAAAACTCCAGTGAGACCGTCAAGTCATTCTGTGAAACTATCTACACCCGCGAAACTTGGTTAGATGTCGGACGCCTGAGCTACCACCACTCTGCCCCTCAGAATCCTTCGTCCTGCCCTTCCAGGTCACTGAGTTCCACCTCCGGCTTTCTCCCAGTTACTAATGATGCCAACCGCCACACGAACATAAACATTGCTTCTTACTACATACACTGCTTGGAAGACAACATCTTTCGCAATATAGGGTCCATGGCGGGAGGACAAATAACAAAAAGAATGCCGAGAAACAACACTTTCCATAAGCACTTTACAGTCACAAACTGCTGCTACGTACTTGACTTCATTTAATGCTCACAAGGTCCGAGCTAAAGTATTATTTACATCCATTTGACTGGCTAGGACACTGATGCTTGGTGAGCCTAAGGTGCTGGCTCAAGGTCACACATGTACTAAGTAAGTGGTTAAGCTGGAGTTCAAATAAGAGACATGGTAACTCCACCACTACAAAAGCTTCTCTAATCACAGTGTTGCCTACTGCACTTCTGCTAACTCTCAGAAGCTGCTAAAGGCCTGGCTTGGAGGTCTTCATGAGACACGTTCTAGGGAATGAGTTGGAGATGAGAACCAGGCTTGGAGAAAGGGATGATCATCCAGTCCTTGTGTTAACAGGAGGGAGCACTCAGGTACCCAAGGTGAGAAGAGGCCTGAGGACCAGGGTAAGAGGTACCCACATGCCCCAGAGAGTGAAGCAGAGAGCAGAACAGTGGGCCCTAGGGCCTGGTGGGAACAACCTCTGGTCTCGTCTGCCCTAATACTCTACATCTCTGAGACCCTCCAGCCCCACAGCCCAGAGCCAGCAAGCAGCCTTGCTTCTCTTGCTCTAGCTCTCTCTTCAGCTCGAGTTTCCACCAGTTTCGCCCCACCACCCGCCCCGATTGGTATCCCTATGAGGGATACCTTATGGAAATCAATGAGATCCGTGAGCGTTGCATGGCGATTGGGGTCCACTCCCAGGAAGCTGTAAAAATCCCCAGAGGCATCCACAAGAAAGTGCTTGAACCCTTTCTGCAGGCGGTAGGAGAGGGTGTAACCCCAGATTTTCTCACTGACCCGGACCAGGAATGCTCCCTCAGTCATGTTCTCCAGGAGATCTTCTGCATCTTCTCGGCTAATAATTCCTGATTTAAAATAGGAAAGAAAAAAAAAACACAGCAGGTTCTACAACTGCCTCCCCATGATCCTCTACTCCTCCCTGCCCCGCACCCTGTGGCTCAGTGCACATGCCATCCACACAGTCCAGGATGCCAGGAAGAAAAGAGCCCCAAGGGCTGGCCAAGCACATGCCTCCTTCCATAGAGAGGGCGTCTTGGCCCAGCGCCACCCGCCGTGAGCCTGGGGGCAGAGTTTCTACTAGGACCTGAGTTGAGCACGCTTTCCTCCACATTGAGCCATGCTGATTTGGATTAATTGAGTAAGCAACGAATTAGTAGTGAGCTGTGATTATAGCATTATTGATTATAAATATAAGTACACAGGCTTGTGAAAAGCCTTAAGAGGCCTGCTTTAAAGACTAGTCCAGAATGGCTGCTGATGATTAACTCACTTATTTCTCTAGTACCATAAATGAGCACCTAAAAACAGGGTTTTCCCTTAAAAAGTAAAAAGATTTCTTCCAAATACCTGTGAACACCAGGCAAAAAGTTTCTTAATAGGGGTATAGAATCAAGCTTCACTTCAGCTCAAAGATCAAAACTTTCTAAGGACTTGCAGTCCTACACAATGTGGTTTCATCACAGTTTGGAAGTCTGGTTGGCCTTGGAGTCATTGATATGCTGGTGGCAATCCCCTGAAATGCTCTCAGGGAGCTGCTGTCATCCGGGTGATGAAAGAGCAGTGATGTAGAGCAGTTTCCAGAGGCAGGTAGGTGGGAAGAGGAGGGAAAGCCAGAAGACCTGGGTTACCCCCACCCCCTACCTCTGCCGACCTGGCTATGGAATTTTCGGCCAAGCCCTCAACATCTCCAATGTCCTTTGACATTTAGATGATCATAACCCAAATAGTTAAAAGGTATGTTATGACTTTCAAGTTGAATAAAGGACTCAAACTCATTTCATACACAGAGAATAGCTGTGGAGATGATGGATCCTGTTATCATCTATTATTCCAGAGGAGAGGTGAATTGTAACACATTGCCCCTTTGCTCACCCATGGACTTACCCTTTCCACACTGTCAGTGATAGGCACGGGGATAGAGTGGCTGAGTTGCCTATCTCCACGACCCTGAGAGGCTCTGCACACCTGTGACTTCTCCCCAGTACCTAATGCCACTCCTGAGCCAGTCACAGTCAGGCTCCCCTCTCATCAATCTCCGGCCTCACAGGGCACACTTGAGACTTCCCTTGTGCCCAAGGCAGAGGACATAGAGGCAACCACACTGCCAAATGACCCACCCTTTAAAGACAGTTAGCGCAATCAGGGGCCACCTATTTCCTTCTTGCCCAGGACTTACAGCGAGAGGCATCCAAGCCAGTCACCCCTCCCCAGCCAAGCTCTAGAAGCAGAAAAGGAGGAAGAGTAAGAGAAGGAAGGAGGTGAGGAGCCCTTTCGCCACAGGGTGCCTGAAAAATAAACACTGTCCCATGCAAGAGGGAGGATGCGCCCCAGTGCTGCCCCCCAGAAGGTCTTGGGGGCTTCATGCAGAAAAGCTGGACAGCCAAAAGAAGACCGAAAGGGAAAGTCCAGGATCCCTCAAAACTTGGCCCTGTCCTTCACCTACCTCCCTGCCCCAACACCAGAACACCTGGGCCCTAAAAGAGGCTGCAGTAAGGAGATAAGTAAGGGGAGCCAGAGGCAGGGCCAGGGCCTGGGAGGAAGAAGGACCAGAAGACATAACCCTCATCCCCATTCCAAGCACCTCAAGCTGAGGCACAGGCGGGGCTAGGGTTGGAGAGGAAGGGAGTGTTACTAGGGTGGGAAACTACAGTCAAATTAAATACGATTCAACTTTTTTTTCTTTTAAACAAGTGTCTTTTTTGTAATGTTTATTACTTTTTCACTGATAAATAAAAATTATATATATTTATGTATACATGACATTTTGATATATGTATGCACTGTGGGATGGCTAAATCAATCTACTTAAGATTAACATACGCATTATCTCACATACTTACTTTTTGTAGCGAAGACACTTAAAAATCTACCCTCTTGGCTGGGTATAATAACTCATGCCTATAATCTCAGCACTTTGGGAGACCAAGGTGGAAGGATCACTTGAGCCCAGTAGTTCAAGACCAGCCTGGGCAACATAGCCACAATTGTTGTCTCCACACTTTTTGTGGCAACAACCATCTCCACAAAAAATTTAAAAATAATTTGGGCATGATGATGCACACTTACTTGGGAAACTGAGGCAAGAGGACCATCTGCAACCAGGAGTTCAAGGCTGCAGTGATCTGTGATCATACCACTGCACTCTAGCCTGGGTGACAGAGCAAGACTCTGCCTCAAACAAACAAACAAAAACTCTCTTGGCAATTTTCAAGTATACAATATATCATTAATTGTAGTTAACATGCTGTACAATAGATCTCTTGAACTTATTCCTCCTGTCTAAATGAAATTTTATGTCCTTTGACCAACATCTCCCCAGTGCCCGCCTCTCCCAGCCCCCAGTAACCACCATTCCACTTTCTGCTTCTGGAAGTTCAATGTTTTTAGATTCCACATATAAGTGAGATCATGAGGTAAGTTGTCTTGCTGTGACTTACTTCACTCAGCATAATGTCCTCTAGGTTCATCCATGTTGTCACAAATGACAGGATTTCATTCTTTTTAAAGGCCAAATACTATTCCATTGCGCACATATACCATATCTCTTTATCCATCCAACTGTTAATAGACACTTAGGTTGGGCCTGGTGTGGTGGTTCAGGCCTATAATACCAGCACTTTAGGAGGCCAAGGTGGGAGAATCGCTTGAGCCCAGGAATTCAAAACCAGCCTGCGCAACATAGCAAGGCCCGGAATCTATAAAAAATTAGCTGGGCATGGTGGCACATGCCTGTGGTCCCAGCTACTCAGGAGGCTGGGGTGAGAGAATCACATGAGCCTGGGAATTCAAGGCTGCAGTGAGCTATGATCATGCCACTACACTCTAGCCTGGACAACAGAGTAAGGCCCTATTTCAAAAATAAATAAGTAAATAAATAAACAAATACTTCCCTTGATTCCCTATCTTGGCTATTGTGAATAATGCTACAATCAACATGGCAGTATAGATATGTCTTCGACATACTGATTTCATATCCTTTGGATAAATATCCAGTAATGGGGTTGCTGAGATGATGGGGTACTTCTACTTTAATTTTTAAGTATTTTCATACCTTAAGAGAATGTGCAAAGGGTCTCTTTCCTCCAACACTTGCCAACACATGTTATTTTGGAGACCTGACTTTTTAACATGCCAAAATGACCAGTAATACCAAAGTGACGATGTCATGTGTCTCACCCACCTAAAACCCTTGAGCAGCTTCCCCCAACTTCCAGCAGAGCCCAGGCTCAGGCACAGCAGACAGCAGGCTCTATGCCCCGCCTCAACCTACCCCTCTGGGCTCACTGCACTGTTAGGTACTGGCTGCTCCCCACAAGCTGACCTTGAACTGAGGCCACATCCCAGCCCCCTTCACTCCAGCTGACCCTGACTCCTCATCGAAAGCCCCATCCTCTTCTCCCCCCAGAATCATGGGCTATGGGCAGCCTACACTCTACCTTTGTGCAAGTTAGGAAAAGATGACCTTCTGAGTAATTGAATTAGAAAAACATGCCTCTCTGGGCCAAACCCACAAAGCCTACAGCTTGATTGAGAAAGGTGGTGCCTGCACATCAATCCTCTGTTCTCCCCAACTATCCCCACCCCTCAGGTCCCCCTGTTCAGTGTGCAACCTGCTCAGCTGACCAGGAAATCCTTTATCTCCCAGGAGATTCTCCTGGATATCCCATATTTGGGTTTTTGTAACATCCTGCCAAAACCTTACAGTAGATTAGTAAATAGGCTGTGAGCAGCTCAAGGCTGGGGCCTGTGGCTGCCATGGGAGCAAGCTGCCCAGGCCTCCCTCCAAGACAGAGACCTGTTGCTGGGAGCAGCATCGTGCCCTTCAGGATCCTCCATGGGGTCATGCTCTTCCCAGGGTGCTTCCAGCCAAGGGCAGGGCACAGGAGTGCTAGAGCCACCATTCCTACCCAAGGCAGGACTCCTCGAGCAGGCAGTCTTTGCTCTGGGGCTTTCAATCAGCCTGGCCAAGATTTTTCTCTGAGCTGCACTCCAGGAGCAGGCTCCCTTACCAGTCATCCTTCTTCCCTCTCTCCCTCCACAGGTGTCAGATGTGTACCATGTTCTGAAGACTCTCCCTACCTTCTCCCACACCCTCCCCCTCTGTGTCTTTCACAAGCATTTCCTCCAATCAATCTCTTCCTCTTCTGCTTCACAGAAGACCTGACAGACACAGACACCTCATCTTTATATCCTCTATGCCTGAGACATTGGCAGGGATTCTGGAACAGTGATCAAGAGCACAGACACAAATCATAGCCCAGGGACTTACTCCACGGGTGGTCTTAAGAGCAGGTGACTTCAACCTCTCTGAAACCAAGTTTGATGTCCCATCTATTAAGTGGTAGTGATATAACAGCTACATCTTAAGGCTGTTTGAGAATTAATAAGTTAATACATGAATATGTTTAGTACAGTGCTTAAAAATCACATTAAATATCTAATACAATATAACTAGCTGCACTGGATGCACTAAGTATTCTACACATGTGTTAGTGTTACAGACTGCCTGGTGCTGGTAGCTGCAATGGTCATAGGACTGTCAGGCTGTGTCCCCCCCACCCCACAACCCCTGACACACACACAGTCAATTCTCTCAAACATGGGCTGCTGAAGGTGACTTCCTCCTAGGGGGCCCCAGCCTGTGCCATAAACTTAGCTGGGCCATTTCTGGGAGACTGTCCAGGTCTCTGTGAATTCTGCCTCCTCTTTGATATTGCTGATATAGTTTGAATGTGTGTCCTCTCTCAATCTCATGTTGAATTGTAATCTGCAGTGTCAGAGGTGGGGCTAGTGGGAGGTGATTTCTCATGAATGGTTTAGCACTATCCCCTTGATGCTATCCTCA